CTCCAGTCTGGGCGACAGAGTGAGACTCCAACTCCAAAAAAAAAAAGCTCTTCTGGCCGAGCATGGGATGCATGGGATTATACTTATAATCCCAGCATTTTGGGAGGTCAAGGTGAGAGGATTGCTTGAGCCCAGGAGTTCCGAGACCAGCATGGGCAACATAGCAAACATAATGAGACCTCATCTCTACAAAAAATTAAAAAATTAACTGGGCATGGTGGCGCCTGTAGTCCTAGCTACATAGGAGGTTGAAGCAGAAGGATCACCTGAGTCCAGGAGGTCAAGACTGTGGTGAGCCATGGTCATGTCAGTGCACTCCAGCCTGGGTGACACAGTGAGAACCCAACTAAAAATAAATAAATAAAGCTGTTCTGCCTCTGTAGCGCTTACCTAGCACTACTAGTTCAATAAATGTTGACCAGATTAATATGTTTGTCACCTTTCCTTCTATCTTTTTTTTTTTCTGAGTAGGAGTCTCACTTTGTCATCCAGGCTGGAGCAGCACGCTCATGGTCACCACAGCCTCGACCTGCTGGGCTCAGGCCATCCTTTTGCCTCAGCCTTCCAAGTAGCTGGCACTACAGGCACACAACACCACGCCCAGCCCAGCTAATTTTTCTTGATTTATTGTAGAGATGAGAGTCTCACCAAGTTGCCCAGGCTGGTCTCGAACCTGTGGTCTCAGGCAATCCTCTTGCCTCCACCTCCCAAAGTTGGAAAATGATCTCACCTCTTTTCTCTCTTAACATTTCTTTTCCCCACAGCCCTCCAGAGGGCCTGCTAAGTCTACACCCCAGCCCCTTTCCCATTACCTTGGTACAATATCTATCTCCTTCCAGTTCGAAAATGACAATCTGGAGCCACCTTCAGATGGGCATGTGACCTTGAAGGACATATTTACTCTTTCCAACTTCACTCTTATCCAGCCCTGCTTCCGCTGACTAAGGGTTTACATATGAGAGACAGCTGCTTTGAATGAGGAGTAAGGATCTGGTCCAGTAAAAGACAGAAATTAACTGGGATGCGTGACTGAACTGTGACCTCATTAACACTCTGCCTTAACCGAGTTAACTGCTACAGAATCCCTAAGGTCCAATAGGCCTGCCAAGCCAATTTGCTTGCTGTCCCCCTACTAATTAGATTACCTAATTACTGCCATTTAAACCTTTCCTAGTTGATTCCCTGTACTTGAAACAACCAATTTCCTGCCATGTCCCTGCTATTCCACATCAACAACTTCCTTTTAGTACTGATTCAAACCACACCTTCTCCAGGAAGATCTTTTATTTTATTTTATTTTTATTTATTTATTTTTGAGTTGGAGTCTCACTCTGTCGCCCAGACTAGAGTGCGGTGGCACACTCCCAGTCACCACAGCCTCGACCTGCTGGACTCCGGCGATCCTTCCGCTCAGCCTTCCAAGTAGCTGGGACTACAGGCGCACGCTACCATGCCCGGCTAGTTTTTGATTTATTGTAGAGATGAGGTCTCGCCAAGTTGCCCAGGCGGATCTTGAACCCGCAGGCTCAAGCAATTCACTCACCTCGGCCTCCCAAAGCGCGGGATTACAGGCTGAGCCACTGAGGCCAGCCTTTAATTTTTATTGTAGAGATAAGGTGTCACCATGTTGCTCAGGCTGGTCTCGAACCCATGGGCCCAGGCAATACTCTTGCTTCCACCTCCCAAAGTGGGGATTACAGGCGTGAGTCACCACACCAGCTCAGGAAGATCTTTTAGACTGAACTCATCCCCCAACATTACTCTGAGTAGATAATGTCATGTAAACTAGCTTGGATCCTGTGTTCTCTAGTTCCATGTGTATGTGTGTTCTTCCACCTAGTTACAAGGTCCTCCAAAGGAGACACCATTACTTCTAACTTTCTGCCCCCCAGTTAAAACAGTGCTGTATACAGGATGAGTCCTCACATGTGTTACAAGGAAAACTGAGGCTTAAATATAGGCAGGCAGTCCAGGCACATTGACTCATGCCTGTAATCCCAACACTTTGGCACCATAAGTGTGCCACTGCACTCTAGCCTGGGAGACATAGTGAGACTTCAAATCAAAAAAAAAAAAAAAAAAAAGATAGGCAGACAACATCAGCCTGGGGTTACTCACCCCTTCCTACCTTCTCTTCTTTGTGTGTCTCCCTGAGCCCTGAAAGTTTCAGTGTTACCTACATCATATCCCTTTTTCCCTACTGGGAAATCCTCTCTCTGTGCTCTGAATAATATCAAAAATAACTCTTCTAGCCCTTCCTCCTCATTCCAGCTGCCCAGAGAACCAGGCTAGCTACCTCCCATATTCACCTCCATCCCTTAGACAACCCCAGCCATGTGACCCTCGCTCCACCCAGACTCCAGTTCCTCAGGTTACCAAGAGCTATTTTGGGCAATGGAGAGACCATGTATTCCCCTCCTCCCCATCCTCTGGGCCATATCCTAGCTTAGCCCTTCCTGGAAGGCTCATCATACACAACACCCAAGGCCTATCTGATCCCTAGCTACCTTTGGTTTCTACTTCTTCAGTCTCCTCCTCCTCGTCATCATCAAATATTAAATGCCTGTTTGCATGTGTTGATCTGCTGGAGTCAAAAAACAAAATATATCTTTGCCTTCAGAAAACTCAAGCCACTGCACTCCAGTCTGGGCAACAGAGTGAGACTCCAACTCAAAAATAAAATAAAATAAAATAAAAACTGAGCCGGGCTCGGTGGCTCAGCCTGTAATCCCGCGCCTTGGGAGGCTGAGGTGAGTGGATTGCCTGAGCCCACGGGTTCGTGACCCGCCTGGGCAACTTGGTGAGACTTCATCTCTACAATAAAATCAAAAAATTAGCCGAGTGTGGTAGCGCATGCCTGTAATTCCGGCTACTTGGAAGGCTGAGGCGGAAGGATCGCCGGAGCCCAGAAGGTCGAGGCTGCGGTGGCTGGGAGCGGCCACTGCACTCCAGTCTGGGCGACAGAGTGAGACTCCAACTCAAAAAAATATATATATATAAGGTGAAATGAGAAACAAAGTTAATACAACGTAAATCAGATTGTAGCAGTATAAACGAAGGGTATATATATAAGTGTTAAGTAGAACTAATACAAGGGAAAGAGTCTGTTAACCAGGAGAGACTTCCTGGAAGAGGAAAGTTCTAAGCAATATGAAAATTTAACTTTTTTTCTTGAGTTGGAGTCTCATTCTGTTGCCCAAACTGGAGTGCAGTGGCATGCTCCCAGCCACCACAGCCTCAACCTGCTGGGCTCTGGCAATCCTTCCACCTCAGTCTTCCAAGTAGCTGGAACTATAGGCACACACTACCACGCATGGCTAATTTTTGATTTATTGTAGAAACGAGGTCTTGTCAAGTTGTCCAGGCTGCTCTCAAACCCGCGGACTGAGGCAATCCACTCACCTCGGCCTCCCAAAGTGCTGGGATTACAGGTTGAGCCACTGAGCCCGGCCAAATTTTACTTTTTTTTTTTTTTTTTTGAGTTGGAGTCTCACTCTGTCGCCCAGACTGGAGTGCAGTTGCCGCTTCCGGCCACCGCAGCCTCGACCTGCTGGGCTCCGGCGATCCTTCCGCCTCAGCCTTCCAAGTAGCTGGAATTACAGGCATGAGCTACCACGCCCGGCTAATTTTTTAAATTTATTGTAGAGATGAGGTCTCACCAACTTGCCCAGGCTGGTCTCGAACCCCTAGACTCAGACAATCCTCTCGCCGCCGCCTCCCAAAGTGCTGGGATGACAGGCGTGAGCCACCGCGCCCTGCAGGGCTTTTATGTATAAGGCCTTGACAGGAGG